TCAGATTGGGTGCTCTCAGTAGTGTGCTGTCTGTATGTCAGATTGAATGCTCTCAGTAGTGTGCTGTCTCTATGTCAGATTGAATGCTCTCAGTAGTGTGCTGTCTGTATGTGTCAGATTGAGTGCTCTCAGTAGTGTGCTGTCTGTGTGTCAGATTGAGTGCTCTCAGTAGTGTGCTGTCTGTGTGTCAGATTGGGTGCTCTCAGTAGTGTGCTGTCTGTGTGTCAGATTGGGTGCTCTCAGTAGTGTGCTGTCTGTGTGAGTGCTCTCAGTAGTGTGCTGTCTGTATGTCAGATTGAGTGCTCTCAGTAGTGTGCTGTCTGTATGTCAGCATGAAGATGTACAGGAAGGTTGAGTACTCTCAGTAGTGTGCTGTCTGTGTGTCAGCAGGTATAAGCACTGGCAGGTTAAGTGCACTCAGTAGTGTGCTGTCTGTGTGTCAGCATGAAGATGTACAGGAAGGTTGAGTGCTCTCAGTAGTGTGCTGTCTGTGTGTCAGCATGTATAAGCACTGGCAGATTGAGTGCTCTCAGTAGTGTGCTGTCTGTGTGTCAGCATGAAGATGTACAGGAAGGTTGAGTACTCTCAGTAGTGTGCTGTCTGTGTGTCAGCATGAAGATGTACAGGAAGGTTGAGTACTCTCAGTAGTGTGCTGTCTGTGGGTCCGCATGTAGAAGGACAGACAGGTTGAGTGCACTCAGTAGTGTGCTGTCTGTGTGTCAGCAGGTATAAGTACTGGCAGATTGAGTGCTCTCAGTAGTGTGCTGTCTGTGTGTCAGATTGAGTGCTCTCAGTAGTGTGCTGTCTGTATGTCAGATTGAGTGCTCTCAGTAGTGTGCTGTCTGTATGTCAGATTGAGTGCTCTCAGTAGTGTGCTGTCTGTATGTCAGATTGAATGCTCTCAGTAGTGTGCTGTCTGTATGTCAGATTGAGTGCTCTCAGTAGTGTGCTGTCTGTATGTCAGCATGTATAAGCACTGGCAGATTGAGTGCTCTCAGTAGTGTGCTGTCTGTGTGGCAGATTGAGTGCTCTCAGTAGTGTGCTGTCTGTATGTCAGATTGGGTGCTCTCAGTAGTGTGCTGTCTGTATGTCAGATTAAGTGCTCTCAGTAGTGTGCTGTCTGTGTGTCCGCATGTATAAGGACAGACAGGTTAAGTGCACTCAGTAGTGTGCTGTCTGTGTGTCAGCATGAAGATGTACAGGAAGGTTGAGTGCTCTCAGTAGTGTGCTGTCTGTGTGTCAGATTGAGTGCTCTCAGTAGTGTGCTGTCTGTGTGTCAGATTGAGTGCTCTCAGTAGTGTGCTGTCTGTATGTCAGATTGGGTGCTCTCAGTAGTGTGCTGTCTGTGTGGCAGATTGAGTGCTCTCAGTAGTGTGCTGTCTGTGTGTCAGATTGAGTGCTCTCAGTAGTGTGCTGTCTGTATGTCAGCATGAAGATGTACAGGAAGGTTGAGTGCTCTCAGTAGTGTGCTGTCTGTGTGTCAGCAGGTATAAGCACTGGCAGATTGAGTGCTCTCAGTAGTGTGCTGTCTGTGTGTCAGATTGAGTGCTCTCAGTAGTGTGCTGTCTCTATGTCAGATTGAGTGCTCTCAGTAGTGTGCTGTCTGTATGTCAGATTGAGTGCTCTCAGTAGTGTGCTGTCTGTATGTCAGATTGAGTGCTCTCAGTAGTGTGCTGTCTGTGTGTCAGATTGAGTGCTCTCAGTAGTGTGCTGTCTGTATGTCAGATTGAGTGCTCTCAGTAGTGTGCTGTCTGTATGTCAGATTGAGTGCTCTCAGTAGTGTGCTGTCTGTGTGTCAGATTGAGTGCTCTCAGTACTGTGCTGTCTGTGTGTCAGATTGAGTGCTCTCAGTAGTGTGCTGTCTGTGTGTCCGCATGTAGAAGGACAGACAGGTTGAGTGCACTCAGTAGTGTGCTGTCTGTGTGTCAGCAGGTATAAGCACTGGCAGATTGAGTGCTCTCAGTAGTGTGCTGTCTGTGTGTCAGATTGAGTGCTCTCATTAGTGTGCTGTCTGTGTGTCAGATTGAGTGCTCTCAGTAGTGTGCTGTCTGTGTGTCAGATTGAGTGCTCTCAGTAGTGTGCTGTCTGTATGTCAGCATGAAGATGTACAGGAAGGTTGAGTACTCTCAGTAGTGTGCTGTCTGTGTGTCAGCATGAAGATGTACAGGAAGGTTGAGTGCTCTCAGTAGTGTGCTGTCTGTGTGTCAGCAGGTATAAGCACTGGCAGGTTGAGTGCACTCAGTAGTGTGCTGTCTGTATGTCAGATTGGGTGCTCTCAGTAGTGTGCTGTCTCTATGTCAGATTGGGTGCTCTCAGTAGTGTGCTGTCTGTATGTCAGATTGAGTGCTCTCAGTAGTGTGCTGTCTGTGTGTCCGCATGTAGAAGGACAGACAGGTTGAATGCGCTCAGTAGTGTGCTGTCTGTGTGTCAGCAGGTATAAGTACTGGCAGATTGAGTGCTCTCAGTAGTGTGCTGTCTGTGTGTCAGATTGAGTGCTCTCAGTAGTGTGCTGTCTGTGTGTCAGATTGAGTGCTCTCAGTAGTGTGCTGTCTCTATGTCAGATTGAGTGCTCTCAGTAGTGTGCTGTCTGTATGTCAGATTGGGTGCTCTCAGTAGTGTGCTGTCTGTATGTCAGATTAAGTGCTCTCAGTAGTGTGCTGTCTGTGTGTCCGCATGTAGAAGGACAGACAGGTTAAGTGCACTCAGTAGTGTGCTGTCTGTGTTTCAGCATGAAGATGTACAGGAAGGTTGAGTGCTCTCAGTAGTGTGCTGTCTGTGGGTCCGCATGTAGAAGGACAGACAGGTTGAGTGCACTCAGTAGTGTGCTGTCTGTGTGTCAGCAGGTATAAGTACTGGCAGATTGAGTGCTCTCAGTAGTGTGCTGTCTGTGTGTCAGATTGAGTGCTCTCAGTAGTGTGCTGTCTCTGTCAGATTGAGTGCTCTCAGTAGTGTGCTGTCTGTATGTCAGATTGAGTGCTCTCAGTAGTGTGCTGTCTGTATGTCAGATTGAGTGCTCTCAGTAGTGTGCTGTCTGTATGTCCGCATGTAGAAGGACAGACAGATTGAGTGCTCTCAGTAGTGTGCTGTCTGTATGTCAGATTGAATGCTCTCAGTAGTGTGCTGTCTCTATGTCAGATTGGGTGCTCTCAGTAGTGTGCTGTCTCTATGTCAGATTGAGTGCTCTCAGTAGTGTGCTGTCTGTGTGTCAGATTGAGTGCTCTCAGTAGTGTGCTGTCTGTGTGTCAGATTGAGTGCTCTCAGTAGTGTGCTGTCTGTATGTCAGCATGAAGATGTACAGGAAGGTTGAGTACTCTCAGTAGTGTGCTGTCTGTGTGTCAGCATGTATAAGCACTGGCAGGTTGAGTGCACTCAGTAGTGTGCTGTCTGTGTGTCAGCATGAAGATGTACAGGAAGGTTGAGTACTCTTAGTTGTGTGCTGTCTTTGTGTCAGGTTGAGTGCACTCAGTAGTGTGCTGTCTGTATGTCAGCATGAAGATGTACAGGAAGGTTGAGTACTCTCAGTAGTGTGCTGTCTGTGGGTCCGCATGTAGAAGGACAGACAGGTTGAGTGCACTCAGTAGTGTGCTGTCTGTGTGTCAGCAGGTATAAGCACTGGCAGATTGAGTGCTCTCAGTAGTGTGCTGTCTGTATGTCAGATTGGGTGCTTTCAGTAGTGTGCTGTCTGTGTGTCAGATTGAGTGCTCTCAGTAGTGTGCTGTCTGTGTGTCAGATTGAGTGCTCTCAGTAGTGTGCTGTCTGTATGTCAGATTGAGTGCTCTCAGTAGTGTGCTGTCTGTGTGTCAGATTGAGTGCTCTCAGTAGTGTGCTGTCTGTGTGTCAGATTGAGTGCTCTCAGTAGTGTGCTGTCTGTGTGTCAGATTGAGTGCTCTCAGTAGTGTGCTGTCTGTGTGTCAGATTGAGTGCTCTCAGTAGTGTGCTGTCTGTATGTCAGATTGAGTGCTCTCAGTAGTGTGCTGTCTGTGTGTCAGATTGAGTGCTCTCAGTAGTGTGCTGTCTGTGTGTCAGATTGAGTGCTCTCAGTAGTGTGCTGTCTGTGTGTCAGATTGAGTGCACTCAGTAGTGTGCTGTCTGTGTGTCAGCATGAAGATGTACAGGAAGGTTGAGTGCTCTCAGCAGTGTGCTGTCTGTGTGTCCGCATGTAGAAGGACAGACAATTTGAGTGCTCTCAGTAGTGTGCTGTCTGTGTGTCAGCATGAAGGTGAAAGGTTGAGTGCTCTCAGTAGTGTGCTGTTTGTGTGTCACCATGTAGAAGCAGTGGCAGGTTGAGTGCACTCAGTAGTGTGCTGTCTGTATGTCAGGTTGAGTGCACTAAGTAGTGTGCTGTCTGTGTGTCAGCATGTAGAAGGACAGACAAGTTGAGTGCTCTCAGTAGTGTGCTGTCTGTGTGTCAGCATGAAGATCTACAGGAAGGTTGAGTGCTCTCAGTAGTGTGCTTAAAGTGCAGTGTGGGCTGTGTTTTATTCTGCAAGTGTTCACTGAGCTCAGTATTTGCTGGGAAATCTCCTCTTCATTCAGCATGAGTCAATATAAATATGAATGAGTGAATGAACCCTGCCCTGTGTGTGAGA